GGGATAATGCAGCTTATTTCAGTTCCATTTGCCTGGAAGGATAAGGGGCCAGGACATGGGCTAAGGAACCTAGAATGCCAGGGAAGGAATCTGATTGAGATGGAGTCTTGCTTTGTTGCCCAGGCTGGAGTGCAGAGGCGCGATCTTGGCTCACTGCAAGTTCCGCCTCCCAGGTTCACACCGTTCTCCTACCTCAGCCTTCTGAGTAGCTGGGACTACAGGCGCCCGCCACCACGCCTGGCTTCAGAACCTTTTTGTGCAGCACAAGCACACAAAAGGCTTTGCTTCATTATGTCTTAGACCATCTCAAGTCAGGTTTTTGTATGAAATCATCCTGGTCCTCAAACCCGTGCTCATTTTTAAGTCCTTTATAGCCCACTGCTTCCCTTGGGCAGTCTTTCTTATATCCTGGGAGCTCCTGTTCTTCCAGACCCAGAGGAACCCAAGCAGAAATCTGTGTATACGTATGAAGAGGTTGTCTGTTTTTAGGAGTTGTATGTAAAAGCTAAGGAAATCTTTTCTTTTGGAAGATCAGTATAAACATGCTGCTTTTGGTAAAATTCTTTTGAGCCATTTCATCTAAATATAACTTCTGTTTCATTTTTTTTTTCTAAATATAACTCAGAGTTTAATGAGGGCTTTTCACATGGAACAAGCTTTTGAGAGGGCCTGTGTTGCTGAAGTTTTTGTCCTTGGATTGCTGAGGTGATATTGGTGACAAACTCAGTAGGGAAGGACTGGGAACCTGTCAATCTTTTTTCTTTGGTTGGGTGGATTGGGCAGGGAATAGCTGACTTGATTTGTTATAAGTTTGGAAAGTTATAGTTTGGTTACATTCTTCATTGATCACACTTTTAGGGATTCTTGAAGAAAAGGGAGGCAACACACACACACACACACACACACACACACAATCAATCTAACAGCATATTCTAGCCTTTACAGTGATGTGCAGTGTTACTAAAATAATTGGGAAATAAAGAATGTAAATGATTAACTCACTGGAAAATCTTTTAAATCTTCTATGATAGGAAGGCCCTACTTACATTCTAATTTAGAGATACCTTTTACTTGCCAACCTAGAGAAATTTAGATTTGCACCCTTTTTTTTTTTTTGAGATGGAGTCTTGCTTTGTTGCCCAGGCTGGAGTGCAGAGGCGCGATCTTGGCTCACTGCAAGTTCCGCCTCCCAGGTTCACACCGTTCTCCTACCTCAGCCTTCTGAGTAGCTGGGACTACAGGCGCCCGCCACCACGCCTGGCTAATTTTTTGTTTTTTAGTAGAGACGGGGTTTCACTGTGTTAGCCAGGATGGTCTCCATCTCCTGATCCACCCGCCTCGGCCTCCCAAAGTGCTGGGATTACAGGCGTGAGCCACCGCACCCGGCATAGATTTGCACTCTTAAATTTGCACTCTTAAAATGAATTCCTAACTCCTCAACTTCTTCAACTAAAGTCTGTTGGATACCTATTATGGGCGATGGCTAAGGGACCATGGGAAACAAGATAAGACCCAGACTTTGCCCTAAAGGATTTAAAAATTAAGTAGGAAAGAAGTCATAGTAGCACTCTAATAAGAAGTTAAGAGGCAGTAAAGCCTGGAGGAGCATTTTCACTTCCTCAACCTCCCTCACACTTCTTCAGACTAAAGTCCCTGTTGGATATACTTATGCGGCGATGGGCTAACCGGGACCATGGGGCAAAACAATGAAAAACACCCCAGACTCTTGCCCATAACAGGCATCTTCACAAAATTAAGCCTCGGAAAGCCCGCTCATAGTAAGCCCACTTCTAATCAAGAAGTTCCCAGAGGCAGTCAGCCGGGAGCTTTTCTCTCAATCAGAAATTGAAAAAATTGCCTTTCCTCGCCTCGCCCCCTCCAGGAAGCAGGTCGAAGAAGTAGGTTTAAACTAGTCCTAAAACTCAGTCATTCTTTTTTTTTTTTTTTTTTTGAAGACCCGGAGTCTCGCTCTTGTCGCGCCAGGCTGAAAGTACAGTGGCCGGATCTCAGCTCACTGCAAGCTCCACGCCTCGATCGAGCTTCCACGCCATTCTCCTGCCTCAGTCTCCGAGTAGCTAGGACTCACAGGCGCCCCCACCAGGACCCCCCCCTCCGCCGGCTACGTTCTTCTTTCTTCGTCTTTCTCTCAGTCACGAGACGGGGTTCACCCCCCGCGCTTCCCGCCCCCTTGCCAGGATGGGTTCCGATCCTCTGCCCCTGCTATCCACCCGTCTCCCGGTCACGTGCTCGGCGATTCGGTTCGCCGCGCCCGGCCAAAAACTCACCCGTCAATTCTTTCAATCCATGTAACTTCCTTTGTTAATCTCTTCGCCCCCTGCTCACTCGTACCGCGGAGCCTTTAGAGTGCCAAAACGTGGAAGTCCTCCTTGCCACTCTCGGCCTGGCGCGCCAGCACCACCGGCGCAAGCTGCGCGGAAGGAACACCGTTCAGGGCAATTTGGGATACATGCAGCTTATTTCAGTTCCCATTTGCCTGGAGAGGATAAGGGGCCCAGGACTATGGCTAGAGGAAACCCTAGACATGCCCAGGGAAGGAATCTGCATTCTTATTCAAGACGCAGCAGAGAACCCATCAAAATGTTAAGGCTGGGAAGTACATGACTCGTAACGTGTGGAAAACATACAAAAAGATAGATGGTTGGATCTGGAGGAGGAGGAACTGGAAGGGGAGTAGACATTAGACTCACAGGAGCCAGGAGTGGAGTGAAAAGGGCTTCAGAGTAGGCAGAGTGGGAAAACGGAATAGGTGGATGGAGGAAGTGGGATTCTGTCTGCACCTCTGTGGCGGACACACACAGCGGGCAGGTACCAGATCCAGAAACGTGGCTGGATGTCACCGTTTACAGTTCCTGGTGTGCAGGCCTCCGGGCACTTGGGAACTGACTTCTGCAGGTGGCGGAGGTCCAACCATCTCTGCCTCCAAAGTGGGACAGATGCACTACCTCGAGACTTAAGCTTTTGGCAATGAACACAGCCCACACCCAGGCTATGAGAGTGTCTCCTCATTGGCAGAACCCTTTTGGTTTCATTGGAAGACACGTTACGTGTTGAGGGGATGTTGAGGCATGATTGAAACTGGATGATGCCAAGCAACGCCAGGTACCACGACCCCGCGCGCGGCAAAAGGGAACTGCTTAGAGCAGTGGAGCACAAGTCATTGAAGGAGCATGGAAGGGGAGCAACTGGGTAAGGTAGGAGGAATGCTTGAGAACTCCCCTCCCACCTTCTTTCCCTCCCAGCGTTCATAACTTGGCTGCATGAACATGAAGAGAAGGGGCGGCCGGTGCGGTGCGCCATACCTGTAATCCAGCACTTTGGGAGGTCCAAGCGCGGGTGAATCACCCGAGGGTCGGAGTTTGAGACCCAGCCTGCGCCAACATGGGCGAAACCCCGTCCTCTACTAAAAATACCAGAAATC